AAACAATGGAAATAGCGTAGCTCTGATCTTTCTTCTTGCAGAGCAACACAAACTCTGTGTTTCTTTGCTGATGCCTTACAGGGTTCAATGTATGCCACAGACAGCATTTGTAATGCTTAGAGCCGACGCTGCTTTTGAAAAAACTCCTAGAAATAGGACCTTTTTCTTTTCTAATTGATTCTTGGTCAGAGGTGGATCAGAATGTTCATGAGGATGAGGGTAGAAGAAAAATGCCTGTGCTGAGTAGAGGATACAGTCTATAGTCTTGACCAAACCCTTGGATATGATATATTTGTGATTTCTAAAATTTTCAGATTTCACAAATTTATGTATCGCATAATGGCCCCCAGTGAATCTGCACAGTTCCTAGTAAACATTCAACATTTCTATAAAGAAACACAGTATTTCTGTGTTAAGTGAGATAAGTAGAACATAAAGAGCTTTACATTTGTTGAGGTTAGGTTTTCCTGCCAAATGAATTAAAAACCTGTGAGAAATTTTTTTCCAAACTATAGCAGCTTTTATTTAGCATAATGTTGCTGGGTGTGGTTGTACAGGCCTATAGTCCCAAGAGGCTGAGGCAGGAGGATCACTGGATTCAAGGTCTGCCTCAAAAAAAAGTTCCATCAACAGTTTAGCATATATTTTTTAGGGGCTGGTGAGATGGCTCAGTGGTCTAAAGCACCTACTTAGAACAAGCTAAGCTAAGCAAAGCACAGGGACCGCGGTTTGATCCCCCAGCACCACATGCCAGCCAGCCCCGCCCCCTGGTGGGCTGAGCTGGCCCCCCTACTAAATAAATAAATAAATAATAAAAATTTTTAAAAAGTTTAGCATATATTTTTGATGCTCATTGCTTGTGTTTATTAATAATCCATTCCTTAAAAAATATTTAAATAGTATTAGTACATGTTTGCAGTTCATGTAGTTTACTGTTATCTTGGGGAGCAGTTGCATGTACCATTACACCTTCTTTTCCATAACTCGGTTCCCCTTCCCCTTCCTCCACTGGTCCCCTTACCTCTCTCATGTATCTCATTTATGGCACATAGCATGCACATTAATTGGCCTGACTAGATTCCTGTGCATGTGACACATCTGTACTCCTCTCATCTGGTGAGAAATGGATTACCTCTTGTGTGAAAGGGTTCATTTTCACCTTTGCAGATAAGTGATTAAAAACCTCATTTGTTCAAAAATATGTAATGCTGCTGAAGTAGTTGACTTTTTGTTTTGTGGAGATAGAGGCACCTTTGTAGGCTAGGTTGGCTGCCTGAGTGCTAGAATTGCAGGGGTGCAACACCTCGCCTGTAGAGATTCTCGTTTATTTATTTAATTTTATTTTTTTGGCGAAACCGGGGATTAAAAACTCAGGCACTTGCTCTTGCCAAGCAAGTGCTTATTCTATTAATAATAAATTCTAGATCATATTTTCTTCTCTAACAATATTTACTGCTTTAGGGCCAGGGAGATGGCTCAGTAGAATAAGGGCTTGCCTGGCAAGCGCAGGGTCCTGAGTTCAATCCCTGGTACCAAAAAAAAAAAAAAAAAGAAAAATTACTGCTTTAGTTAGCTTGAAATAAGTTTATAGAATCTGAAGATCAGAAAGGTAGCCGGTGGGCTAAGGAGATAGATAGCTTGTTTGTCTAAGCGCCTACCTGGCAAGCACAAGCAAGGTTCAGAGTTTGATCCCTAGTACCACATGATGCGCTGGCCCCAAAACCAGGCCTGGTGGAGCACTCCTGTAATCCCAGTGCAGGGGAGACTGAGACTGGAGGTAGTCTGAACAGCATAGTGAGACCCTGTATCAAAAGAACAAAATGGATAGATGGATGGATGAATAGATAGATAGATAGATAGATGGATAGATGAATAGATAGATGGATAGAAAGAAAGAAAGAAAGAAAGGTAGGTAGGTAGGTGGGTAGCTGGGCAGGGTGGTGCATACCTATAATCCCAGAACTCAGGTGGCTGAGGTTGGTCACCTTATAAGTTAATGAAACACAGTATAGCCCAGATATAAATTATTTGCTATTAATTATTAAAACATTTATGATCTATTTTATAATTTCTATTGAAATTAAATTTTTATTAATGAAGTACTGAGTTAAAAAGATCTATATATTGTCAGAAAAAAGTTAAAACCATTTTGGGGCTGGTGAGATGGCTCAGTGGTCTAAAGCACCTACTTAGAACAAGCTTAGCAAAGCACAGGGACCACGGTTCAATCCCCCAGCACCACATGCCAGCCAGCCCCGCCCCCTGGTGGGCTGAGCTGGCCACACACACACACACACATAAATAAATAAAATTAAAAAAATAAAAATAAATAAAACCATTTTATTTTGTTTTAGGTCTAAGGTCAACCAATTTATATATAAGTTGGGGTGCTTTGTTTTTGTTTTGTTTTGCTTTGTTTGTGGCGGGAATTGAACTCACAGCCTTGCGCCTGCCAGGCAGGCACTGTGCTATATCCCAGCCCTTGATTTTATTTTAAGACATGTAATACCGTAAAATGTTTTTCTTGCTTCTTCCTGTACGGTGCTTTGTGAGGGATATGCTCAGGGACTTTGTATCTGGGCTGTACTGTGTTTCACTGACTTGTAGGATGATTGGTTTTTAATATTAATATTTTGGAAAGCAGGGTGAGTTGTATGTATTGTTGGCCAAATGGCTGTTCAGGTATACTTTTATCAATAGATTATTGAATCCAAAATCAAAATTTGTGCAGTTAAGCATTCAGAGCTTTCACATTTGGTAATCACTGGATTGGAAGAAAATCTGAGAGATACTGGTAGAATATGCTTTGGGTTCTGAGGATCTAAATAGTTGTGAACAGCAGTAGGGGTGAATAGCTCCACATACTTTCCATTGCCTGAGAACGCATGGTATTAACCTTTTATGGATTCCTTTATGAGATGCTGTATTACAAGAGACTTTATGAGAATTGTAGCAGAAATTCTCTTTCCTACCCTCTGTCTGGGTATGCTGCATATGTATAATCCCACCTGAGTGCTGGGATTATAGGTACCTACCTTCCTGTTTGTCTGTCTGTCCATCTGTCTATCTGTCCATCCATCCATCCATCTATCCATTCATCCATGTTATGTAAAACTGTTAGTTCTTTGTGAGGTAAAAACAGTGATGCTTACGTGCCCAACTGTCAGTGTGAAGTAGATTTAGTAACTTCTTAGGTGCTTTGTTTTGCTTATATTTTTAGTTTTCTGTATATAAAAGATGATATGTCCTGAGCGCCAGATTTGATGATAAAAATAGATAACATAACCATTGTTAATTAGCTATTCCAGTTTTGAAAATCTGTAACATGCGTTGTTGTATATTACTGTTTCTGTTTCT